AGGTCTGTAGTAATTATAGGATAGTTTTACACATGACCATAGAGCCATTTCACAAATGTGTGTCCAGACCTGCTAGGTAAACTGCTTTTCCAGGATACACAGCAGACTCTGAAGAAGTCCTCTGCTCTGTGTAACCCAGAATTTGATCCTGTCTTTCTCCCTCAAATCATCATCCCCATCGTCATCATCATTGAGACAATCCAGTAAGCTAGGACAAGCAAATAGGGAAACTGAGGCAGATAGTTAAATAGCAATTTGCAGCCATTTAGTAAATTCTATCTTCTCTAATCCTGGGACACTTAAGAGTAAATGGTTTTCCCTTCTTCCCTAAACACAGGGTAAATAGCTGAAATCACCCTCCTCAGGGTGACAGATAACAGAAATCCAATTAGTGCCATTGCCAACCGCACCCAAGGCCAGATGAGGTTAAGAGAATAAACCTCATTTTGGCACATCAGCATAAAGATGAGGAATATTCTATGTAGACACTCCCCTGTGACCTTCCCAAAATGCCCAGCCTTTAAAACTCCTCAAAGTAAGAAGGCTTCAAGGCTCACAGACGGAAAAGCTTGGTTTTGGAAAATTCTCAGAGGGGTCGCCGGTGGCAAGAGAGACATGAAATGTAAGGGACCTTTACAGTACGGGGCGCGTGGTCTCTGGGTTGTCAGCACCTGGAAACGTTTCTTGATGGGGACTCGGTGTCGAGAGTATTTGTCGTCTGGGGAGAACGGAGCAGGATGTGCCGAACAGTCTGTTGTCCCAGAGGATCAAACTTCTTCAGGGTGGAGATCCGGACCCCCTGTGCATTGAGGAGATACTGGAGAAACATGATTTCGCTAAAGCAGGAGGCTCCAACTCCATCTGCGCTTCTCTATTGAGGGCCTCAGGTGGTTGGCTTTGGCAGTTTTATTTTTTATTCTTTTCGTTTGTTTGTTTTTGCTTTTTGTTTTGTGGCAGTTTTATTTTTTAAGTTGGTGTGGAAAGGGTGTGCCTGCCTTGGGAATTCAGGAAAATGGAAGTCAGCATCTTCCCCAGCAAACCTAGGCCCCATTTCTCCAAGCTCACATTTCCCTGTTTCCTTCTTCCACGGCCCTGCACGATTTCATATCCATCTTGTAAAAAACAAAAACAAACAAACAAACAAAAAGAAGCCACAGTCCAGTGTGCCCACTCACTTTTTACAAATGAAGTACTAACTAGTTAATATACTCCGTCAATCCCTGCAAACATAGGGGCAGTGTGGGGCACAGTTCCTGAATGCCTTGTGTGCGTTTGGATGGAGGCTTTTCCTGCCATCAGTAGTATGCTCTCACACAGTCCTGTCCAGTGGCTGGAATGTGAAGCTGGAGAGGAGAGACAGAGCTGCAGGGGAGGGACAGGCTTCACATTAGGCGGACAGGTTAGAGCTGCACTGGCAATAGGTTTCTCCTTTGCTGCCCTTTCCTGCTGAAGAAGGAAGAAAAGAAAGAAGCTAAAACTGTCATTCACACTCAGATTATTTTATTCCAACTTGGAGAGAAAAATTCTGGACTTGAGTCCCGTTTCTGCCATTTGTGAGTTGATTGAACTCGATGTGTGATCTCATCTCAGTTACCTCAAATGTAAAGGGCAGTTATAATACTATCTTTTCTGCCTCCTTTATAGGAGACAGGGTTGTAGGGAAAATGCATGAGTCAATGCATGTGGAAAATGCTGCTCACTTGCTGGGTAAAGAATGGAGTGCCAATAGTGACTGCCACTGTCCTTTGGGGTCAGGATTCTCTGTTACAGGTTTCTGTTGACAACTATCATCTTGGTGTTAAAGCAACAAACTGTCAAATTACAGCGGGGAGGGTAGGGAGATAAGAGATCAACCAAAGGACATGTATGCTTGCATATAAGCATAACCAATGGACGCAAAACTCTGGGGAGGGAGGGCATATATAGGAGTAGGGGGAGCAATGGTAAGATATGTACACATATAATACCTTAATAAAAAAAAAATGAGGGGGAAAAAAAAGAATGACCTTGCTTCTAACACCATATTTTGCAAACCAAAGATTGTAATTTTAAAGAAAATCCAATACAAAAGGAATGTACTCTGGAAAATTGAAGGCAGAGAGGTTTTGTTGTTGTTTTTAAAAACATATTGTTATTGATTTCAGAGAAGAAAGGAGATGGAGAGGTAGAAACGTCAATGAGGAGAGAGAATCGCTGATTGGCTGCCTCCTGCATGCCCCACACTGGGGATTGAGCTCACAACCCCAGTTGTGACATGTGCTCTGACAAGGAATTGAACTGTGACCTCCTGGTTCATAGGTCGCCGCACAACCACTGAGCCACACCGTTTGGGCACGTTTTTGTTTTTTTAAATACTGGTCTAGGAGTTAGGAGACTTGATCTCTAGTCCCTCCTCCATCAGTGATCTTGGGTCAATATGATACCATTGTGGGCCTTTGTTCCCCTAATCTGTAAAATGAGGGTGCTGGACCCATTGTTTCTCAACAGGGTTGAAGTTGTGGAGTCACTTGGGAAGATTCCCAAAAGTAGAATTTTATTTTGTTTCTTGCTCTGTTTCCAAACCATAGAAAAAACACTTGATACGGGGTAGGTATTCATAAATAGATATTTTTTAGTGAATGAATAGGACATTTTGAAAATTCACGGGCCTGGATCCGTTTTATAAGCTTCATGGATATGGGGTAGAACCTGTATATGTTTTGCCAAGCACCCATGGCTGAGAGCCAATACCCTCAAGGAGCCCCAAGTTTCCTTCCACCTGGAGAGGCCAGAATTAGCAAATGAAATTACAAGACATTTGAATTTCAGATAAAAAAGGTCCATTTTAGTGTAAATCTGTTCCAACGTATACAGAGCTAATGAGGTAAGGCTACTGGTTAGTCTGATGGCACCTTGAAACTGGCCCAGATTTAGGGAATCAGACAGATAATCTTGGTTTGAGTCTCTGCCCTGATTGTGCGTGCTTCACCAATTGCTTAACTTCATTGAGCTTTGTAACTGCAGTATCTATCCTGTACGATTGCTGAACGTATTAGAGATAATATAGTCATGGCGGCTAGCACTTAACCTGATAAAGTTTAGCGGTTATTACTATGGTTGACATATTTAATCGGTTTAAGGAAAAAAAACTCAGTATCAATGAGACCTTTATTGAATACACTGTCAAATAGTAAGCTGGCCTTCTGAAATGACCAAGCATACAAATAATAGTCCTAGGTAGACCTGGGCAAGTTAGACTGAATGCTGACCTTTTATCAAACAATACCTCTATGTCTGGGGAAACTGAACATACTACCTAAAGGAATAAAGGAAGGAAGTTCTTTCATCTCTTATGAAATGTCATTTGCTGGCCTGCCCTTTTCTAATGTTGAAGGTAAATATTTGTTCAGGTTTTATAGGATCACTTTACAGAGCGACAAGCTATTTCTTGGAAATACTTCAATCCTGACCGAGCTCATTTCTCTTCTAGGATAAAAGCATCTTTTGTTTCTAGAGTATTTGTGGTTTCTAGAAATTTCTAACACATCTTCTCTGGTTAAAAAATAACATACATGGCAACAAATGTAGAATGTTCATTAAAAAGAAAATTACCTGGCTGGTGTGTCTCAGTGGCTGAGCATTGACCTATGAGTCAGGAGTTCAATTCCCAGTCAGGGCACATGCCCCAGATCCCCGGTTGGGGGCATGCAGGAGGCAGACAATTAATGATTCTAGTCATTGATGATTCTATCTCTCCCTATCCCTTCTGCTCTCTGAGATCAATAAAATGATATTTTAAAAAACATATGATGCACCTTACCAGAGTATATCCTACAAGATAAAAAAGAAAGACAGGTAACTCTTATTGTCTTTTTTTTTTAATACACATTTTATTGATTTTTTACAGAGAGGAAGGGAGAGGAATAGAAAGCTAACAAAATCAATGAGAGAGAACCATCAACCACCTGCCTCCTGCACACCTCCTACCGGGGATGTGCCCACAACCAATGTACATGCCCTTGAATGGAATTGAAACTGGGACCTTTCACTCCGTAGACCTACGTTCTATCCACTGAGCCAAACTGGTTTAGGCAACTCTTATTGTCTTAAATATGATAAAGGGCCTCATGAACCTAACCTCCAATTTTTAGTCTTTACTTATTTACTCTGTGGCTGCAAGGAAATCCTGAACCTCTTACCTAGAGTGATGGTTGTGTCCCTGTAAAGCATGGGTAGGTTAGGGATTTCTTTCACAAAACCATGACTAGAGGGAATCCAGATAGCTTAGTGATGTTGTATGTGTTTTCACGGATCAGAGTTCATATTCTGATTTCCTTACTGTGCCCTTGAGCAAGTCACTTACCCTCTCTGTACTTCAGGTCCCACCTCTGTGAAATGGGCAACTAGCAGCACCTCCTTTGGAGTTGTGAGAGTTGTAGGAGAGGGTTCGTGGAAAATGCTTGGCACTTAGAAAGTACTAAATAAATATGATTATTTAAAAAATATATATAATTAGGAAGATTAGGATTTTTGAAAAACATGTTTCAGTGTATACCTAAAATGTATATTTAATAACCAAAACATGCTTTTGAGCCCTGTTATTGTTATTAATAATTGCAATCCTCCAAGATGATCCCCGGTGACCCCTGTCTCTGAGTATTCACCCCTGTCCTTTGTTTAGTCTCCAGCTACATCGTCCCAGGGTGGGTCTATGTGAACATACAATATGGCAGAAGAGATGGTAGGTCAGTTTTGAGATTAGGTTAAAAAAAGATATTGTAGCTCTAACCGGTTTGGCTCAATGGATAGAGCGTCGGCCTGTGGACTGAAAGGTCCCAGGTTTGATTCCTGGTCAAGAGCATGTACCTTAGTTGCAGGCACAATCCCAGTAGGGGGTGTGCAGGAGGCAGCTGATTGATGATTTTCTCTGATTGATGTTTCTTACTCTCCCTCTTCCTTCCTCTCTGGAAAAAAAAAAAATCAATAAAGATATTTAAAAAAAAGATATTGCAGCTTTCTCTCTCTCCCTCTCTTCCTCTGTCTCTCTCTCTCTCTCTCTCTCTCTCTCTCTCTCTCTCTCTCTCTCTCTCTCTCTCTCATTGGGGGAAGCAGCTGCCTGTCATGAGCAGCCCTATGGAGAGGCCCTCTGTGGAGAGGAGACGTTCCCATGATAAGGAATAGTTAGAGCCTTACTGGAAGTGGACCCACAGCCATGGACAAGCCTTCCGATGACAGCAGCCCTCACTGACATTTTGACTGCAATTTCATGGGGGACCCTGAATCAGAGCCGTCCAGTTAAGCAGCTCCCAGAATCTGACCCTTAGGAACTGTGTGTGAGATGATAAATGTTTATGGTCTCAAGCTTCCAAGTCTTGGGGTGATTGGTTTATACAGCAATAACATAACTTATAAATACAATGATATATATGTTTTAATTAGCTTTTGAAGATAAAGAATGTATTAGACCATAACCTATTTCAATCACTTTCAACCTTTGAAGATCACTCCTTGTCCTTGGTAGTTCACAAGCATTTATTTTTTGACATAGTTGTTATCAGTGTTTACACTCTACCTGGTATTTGATCTTCCCCCTTAGAATTATGTCACAAGTACTAACAGATTCAACATTCTTAGCATTTTTACTGGCTATCTAGCATTCTTCCCTATGCCATCTCAAACATTCCCTATTGTAGAACATTTGTGTTACTTTCAGTTTGCAAAGTATAACAAAATAATAACTGGCACAATAAAAAATAGCTCCAATTAGCCAAGCAATGTACCGGGAGCTCTTAGATACATAAACGATGGACAATACAGAGAGGACCATGCTCCTAAGTACAAAGGTAGTAAATCCGTACAATATGTGCTTAGATAAGTGAACTTCCCATTAGGCTAACCTAAGGTGAATGCAAAGGAGCTGGGTGAATTGACTTGCTAAAATAATAGTAAAATCATAATGATAACAGCTTTCTAGAACTCTGTGTATTTCCTGTCATTCCTAGGAATGACAGTAGACAATTAAACCTTGGGAAAATCCTATAAGGAACTGCCTCGGCTGCAAGTGTCAAAGCTGAATTTCAAAGAGGGTTCTACCCCTTAACTAAAGCCATTGTCCCCAGACCCTGTGTCTGCCTTGTCCCCCTTCAACATTCTCCTCCCCGCCTTTGGCTGTGCTTTGTCAGGTTGTACAATTGTGCCCGGAAGAGAAAAGTGGACTAAGCCCTTCTTTGTTGAAATTCAACACTACGTTACACGCATCAGGTCTCCTTTGAGTACAGTATTCAGTCAATGGCTCTGTCTGTAACCAGAGCCTCCGAGTAGGGAGCCATCATTTCTCCTCCTTGGTCAGTCCTGGTGCTCAGTCTTTGACTTTGCCCACCTTCCTCACAAGGTTTTGAGGACCGCTAGGTAAGCAAGCCCTCTTTAACATGCAAACATAATTCATGGTTAAAGGGAGCGACACTTAACTTTATGAAGGGACATTAGGACAGGTAGTTTCCTGGGGTTATTTTGTCCTTGATCAAGCTGAACCCAGTGCTTTGGGCACAATAGGCCCTCAATAAATACTTGTCAAATAAATAAATGTTCTAAATGTAGTGATTCTGCAGGGACAGGCTGAGACACATAATCCCTCCACTCAGCATCCTTAGGAGAATGTCATATACCTTTTGAATCCTCTATAAATATTTTATAATAGTAACAATGAAATAATGAAGACTATAGTTATGAATAAAGACTATTCTTAGCTCAAATTTCCTGAACTAGGGTCCTGTCCTTCAGCAACATATAAAATGTACTCAGACAGGGCTTTAGCATAATGAACAGCAACTTACTTGTAAAATACTGAGAGCAAATGAATCGAGTCCTTTCCCTTTCCAATGGTTATTTCCAAGAACCACAAGTGTGAGGCTATCACGTTATAGATTGAAATAAAGTAGGTCCTCTTTTCTCTCTGGATTTAGATGAATTACCTTATGTGTTTTCTTTTTTTTTAGTTTAAAAATTTTTTTTATTATGGTATTATATGTGTACATACCTTACCAATCCCCACCCCCCTACCTTATGTGTTTTCTGATTTTAGGCAGGAACTAACTTTGACATTTCCTAAGCTTCATAATGCTTATAACTAAGTGGCAAACCAACCGGTGAAATCTGAGGTCTGAGCTCTGGAGATATAGGAAAGAGCAGAGCCTGCCACATGGGCCATTCCCTTCTGCTTCCCATTCTAGCTTTCTCCAACCAGGCAGGTCACAGCACTATTTTGGAAGAGGAAACCAAGAACCACTGGCAGGAGGCAAGTCTTCCAGGTTGTGAGTCACAGGCTAGCATTTTGTAGTTTTTAAAAAATATATATATTTTATTGATTTTTTTTTTTTTTTTTTTTTTTTTTTTTTTTTTTTTTTTTTTTTTTTTTTTTTTACAGAGAGGAAGGGAGAGGGATAGACTGTCAGAAACATCGATGAGAAACATCGATCAGCTGCCTTCTGCACACCTCCTACTGGGTACACCCTCCTGCCACCAAGGTACATGCCCTTGACCGGAATTGAACCCAGGACCCTTAGTCCGCAGGCCAACGCTCTATCCACTGAGCCAAATGGGTTTCAGTGCCTTTTGTAATATTAATATATGTTCCTTAAAAAGAAGACTCTTTAGTGGCAGTAAGACTTTGGCAAGAGTGAGGAAACACACAGCTTTCCTTAATAAAATCTAGAACCCCAAGGTCAACATCGGAAAAGGATCGCAGGTGGTGAATCCTGCTATGGCAACTGCACTGTCCTCCCTGCTCCCCAGTTTACTTTTTCTCTGAGTCTCACTTGTGACCCAGGTTTGCTTGGGCAGGAGTGTGTGTGCGCGCTCACACACACACACACACACTCATACTCTTGCTATCACAGTTTGTCTTTCATGAAGCCAGATAAAGCCCCTACCCTTACATCTCTAACATATTTGAGGATGACAAAACCTTTTTAAAAATGTCAGCGATAACTGTGGAATCCACTATAAAAAAAAAAAAAAAAAAAAAAAAAAAAGGAGAAATGAAGACAAGTATGAGGAAAGAAGTTCCTTCCAGGGCCTGCCCCCAAGGTCTGGTAGGACTTCGGTGACTTCTTGCCTGGGCGTCTTCCTCACGCTCTCCTGATTGATCTCGCTGCCATGGACCTTAGGGGCCTGGTGTACAGGACACTCAGGGGTCTAGATTCCTATCTGCAACATACCCAAGGCCCATTCCGGGCCCACTCATTCGGCAAGGTTTAATCCTCGCTGAGATTTGGCTAAGCTGGCACAGTGATGTTAGTCCCATTTCATAGGCAAGGAGCTGGCTGCTGCTATTTGCACACAATTCCTAGTGTACATCAGATACCTAATTGTGTTACATGAAGGTCCACCAGGCAAGAAAGTCTATCAAAGAACCAGGGCAGATGTTCTTTAACTGCAAATCTTGTATAATTCGTGGTTACGTGTGTTATTAATGTACCTGATTAGCTTAACTCAATCCAGAGGGAATGGACACTGGCCAGATTAGGTTTGATGGGAAGAGGAGAGGAGAAGGTTCTGAACATGGGTGAATGTTGCCATAAAGACAGTCCTCATTATGACTCCATGTGTAAAGAGCAGGGCCATTGGGGGTGATATCAAGTAAATAAATAACATGTGAAAAAAGGGCCTGTGGCTAGAGGGAAGGGGAGGCAAGGGTTGGGTGTAGATGTGCAAAGGGGGAGAAGAATGGGGACATCTGTAATAGTGTCAACAATAAAAATAAAGGTTTTTTTTCTTTTTAAAAAAAATATATTTTATTGATTTTTCACAGAGAGGAAGGGAAAGGGATAGCTAACCAGAAACATCGATGAGAGAGAAACATTGATCAGCTGCCTCCTACACACCCCCCACTGGTGATGTGCCCGCAACCAATGTATATGCCCTTGACTGGAATCGAACCTGGGACCTTTCAGTCCGCAGACTGATGCTCTATCCACTGAGCCAAACCGGTTTTGGCAAAAATAAAGTTTAAAAAAGGGAGGGGGCTCAAGGAAATCTTCTATAATCTTAATAGTGGCTATAGCTAGGAGATGGAGCCATAAGTGATTATTTTTTTAATCCTGTTTTATATTTTTCCAAAGTTGTTTTTTTTTTTTTCTTATAATGGGTATGTATTACTATTGTAGTCTGAAAAACTATTGTGTTAACTTATAAGTGTTAGTGATTATCAAATTAAAAAACAACAATGTGTTTCAAAGGACACTATAAAAAAGTGAAAAGACAATCCACAGAATGGGAGAAAAACTTACAAGCCATATATCAGATAAAGGACTAGTATCACTTATCAGCTATAAGTAAAGACCTTTTACAACTCAAAAATAAAAATTTAAAAATGGGTAAAGGATTGAATAGACATTTCTCCAAAGATATACAAATGGCCAGTAAGATTATGAAAAGACTAGAGGCCTGGTGCATGAAATTTGTGCATGGGTCCCAGATTGTGAGAGGGATGTCTGACTGCAGTCGGACATCCCCCAAGAGGTCCCAGATTGGAGAGGGTGCAGGCTGGGCTGAGGGACACCCCCTCCAGTGCACAAATTTCGTGCACCGGGCCTCTAGTTCACATATAAAAAGGAATGGAAGTACCAGTGCTACAGCATAAGCGAACCCTGCAAATATTACATTAAATTTAAGAAGCCAGACCCAAAGGATGTCTATTGTATGAAATGTGGAAACAGGCAAATCCATAGAGAGAGAAAGTAGTTTTATGGGACTGAAGGTGAGGTGGAGGGACAAGGAATGACTGTAATGGATTTTTAAAAAAATATATTTTATTGATTTTTTTTACAGAGAGGAAGAGAGAGGAATAGAGAGTTAGAAACATCGATGAGAGAGAATCATTGATCAGCTGCCTCTTGCACACTCCCCACTGGGGATGTGCCCGACACCAAGGTACATGGCCTTGACCAGAATCAAACCCGGGACCCTTCAGTCCACAACTGACGCTCTATCCACTGAGCCAAACCAGTTTCGGCTGGATTTCTTTATATTGGAATGCTGACAGTGTTCTGGAAGTATCATCGAGTTGTAAGAGATCCTTATATCTGATAAGTGGTGATGGTTGCATAACTTAGTGAATAATTAAAAATCGTGGAGTTATACCTTTTTTTTTTTTTTTAAGATAACCCATGGCTTTTTTTTTTTTTTTTTTTTTAATGTTTTGATTATTTACAGAGAGGAAGGGAGAGGGACAGAGAGCTAGAAACATCGATGAGAGAGGAACATCGACCAGCTGCCTCCTGCACAACCCCCACCAGGGATGTGCCCGCAGCAGCCAATGTACATGCCCTTGACCGGAATCGAACCTGGGACCTTTCAGTCTGCAGACTGACGCTCTATTCACTGAGCCAAACCGGTTTCGGCAAGTTTTACCTTTTAAGAGTAAATTTATGTGAATTGTATCTATCAATAGGAAAATGACTGAAAAATGAAGACTTTTCAAATATAAATCCACGAAAAACTCTGGATCTGCCATACTTTTCATTGATTGGAGTTGCCATCATTTGAAGGCCTCTGAAATAAATGCTTACTGACTGTAAGGAAGAAGAAATACAGGGTGCAGTCACTTTGTATATGCAGGAGCCCCCTAACCCTGACGCCCCCTTTCCCCCATTTTCCCTTCCCCACTCATCACCTTGTGAAGAAGTTTCTCTGTGTTTTTCATAGACATCTGGGGTGGGGCTGGGGGGAGGTATTTTAGAAAGGACCTACTGAATCCATACACCCTGTTCTACAGATGAAGAAACAGGCCCAGAGGTTTATTTACTGTTTCCTGGTGAGCCGGCACACCTAGGAAGACTAAAATAAGATATCCTGTCCCATGTCTTTGAGCTGCCCCTTGCCTGTCTCTTACCAGGCAATGGCCATCAATTTCAGGAATTTGCAGGTGTGTTCTGCCACGCACAAGTAGAGAAGCATCGATTTTTCCCCGCAGAGACCAGCATTTCAACTAGTGGTGTTTGATGACTCTTCACTCTAAACTCCTAGCAAAAAGTTGTGCCGTGTGTAAGGCCCAGCTGGGTGTGCGCTCCGCAGGAGAGTCCCCTTCTGTCTCCCCTTAAGAAAGTCGGTGATCAGAGAGCTGGCTTTAATGGTTTTTGTCTTAGTTGGTTTTTATGTCGGTCCTCCGTCCTGTTTATTCGAACCATCTTCAGTTTGAAAGAAGACTCAAATCCAGGCCTCTTCATCCCTACTCGTCTCTCCTGCTCCCAGAGATTGTCCGGAATCCACTGTCAGACCTCCTAGTTCAGTAATTGGTGCCCAAGGCAGGCATTGCGTTTTCCCTGGAGTCGCCCTAACACCTGCGCCCTTCCGGACAGGCACCCTCTGCTTCCCACCGAGGATTCCGTCCCGAAGTGGGGCGGGAGCGGACACTGGGAAGACACGAGGCCGGTTTGGGGAAAGGCGGGAGGCTGCCAAAGCCCCAGAGACAGTCCAGCTCAGGCACCTGCAGGAGCCGCGACCCCTGCACGCTCCCTAATCCCCCTCTCACCCCAGAAAACAGCCCCCCAGCGAATTCCTGGTAGAGTGAAAGGCGGCAGTAAAAAGGCACAGGATGGGGTGTTAACCTGCCACCCCTGCGGCGTCCAGGGATGCCTCCCCCACCCCCTCCGTCATAGATAATAGATAAAAGCAAGTTTCCAGGGGGCTGGGGACGGGCTATTTCCCTCCCTCGGGGGTAAAAGCAAACACACGTGGGCGGAGGAAAGCGCGGGGGGAATTCCTCGGCCTGGTTCCGGGGTGCAGAAGCTGGCGGGCCGGTCCCGGGGACCTCGGGCGAGGTGAGCAGAGGCGCCTGGTGGGTTCGGGGAGCTCGGGTCCGCGCGCAGGCGCACTGAGGCCGCCGCCGCCGGCCGGTCCCGGGGCACAAAGCGCTGGCAGAGCAGGGGGTCCCGCCTGGGGCTCCGGGGCTCCCTCCCGCCGGGCTCCGGACGCAGCCACAGGCGTTCCCCACCCGGCGGCGTCGGAGATTGACTTCCTCGCCATGGCCGCGTTTGCGGGGCCGGGTGGCCACCGCGCGCTTCGGGGTTTGATTCTGGCGCCGGGCAGCGGCCGGCCCCGCCCCTCCGCCCCGCCTCCCCGATCCCGGAGCCGCGGAGCCGGAGCGGCGCCCGGCGCGGCAGGCAGGACCGGAGGAGCGCCCGCCCGGAGGTGAGTGCCGTCCGGGACTCTCTGTGCCCTTTTCCCCGCGAGGTGGGCCCGGGCCGACGGGGCCCGGACTCCTGCGCCCGCCCGGCCCCCGCCCAACCCGGCCAAGTTGGCGCGCGCCGGGGGCGCACGGGGCCGTGGCGGGCGGAGGGCAGCCCCGCGGTCCCTCTGGCCGGTTCCCGGGGTCCCTCTGGCTGCCCCCCCCCCCCCCCAGGCGGCCCTGGCGCGGGCCTCGGACCGGGTGGCTGGGCGCTCGCTGCGCCGCCCGCGGGGCTGGTCCGGGTGCAGGGGAGCGCGGCGCGCCTGGCTCCGGGCGGCAGGGACAGACCGGCCGGAGCGGAGCGCACGGCCTTTTGATGGCCCCGGGGCGCTTTCATCCGCTCGGGATGGGGCGGGAGATCCCCTCCGAGATGTCTCCCCAGAAGTTCTCCGCTCCACGGGGGGGTTAGGGGGGGAAAGGGGAGGGACGGGCGGCCCCTTCATGTCTGTTCCGGAGCGGCAGGTGGCCTCGGAGGTGCCTCCGGCCGCGGTCGGTCGGAGCGGCCGGGAGGTGGGGGAGGGGTGTGGGAACTCGGCCTCCGGCCCGCAGAGCTTGGTCGGGACGGCGTGGGCTCCTGGTCGATCCGCAGCGTCAGGTCCAGGGAGGGAGGGAGGGTGCGCGTGGTCTGAAGCGGGGCTGGCCCCTGTATGCCCCCTCCAACACCCGCGTAGGCAGGCGCGCGGGGAATGCTGCGCTGGGGCAGCCACCTCCCCCCGCCCCGCTACTTCCCTCCTACCTGCTACCTCCCCTTCCCGCTACCTCCCCCCTCCCCGCTACCTCCCCCTCCCTGCTACCTCCCCCCTCCCCGCTACCTCCCCCCTTCCTGCTCATCCAACCCCCGCTCCACTACCTCCCTTCTCATCTCATCCTCCCCGCCGGCTCCGCGTGGAACTCCCGAGGCCCCTCTCGGCAGTGAGTCCGGCAGGTCAGCCAGAGCTCTGCTGCGCCGGGGTGACTGGGTGAACGCTTTGGCCGAGTTAATCATGAAAAACAACTTATGGCGTGGCCCCCGTGCTCCCTCTCTGCATATCGTCTCCTCGGAGGTTCATCTTGTATGAAGGAAATGTGTTAGAACGAGAGCACTAGACTACCCAGGGAGGCTCCTCATGCAGGTCTGTCATTGTGCAGTTTCTTGCCTCACTTTCACTCATTCTCCTCCCCACCCCCTCTCACCTCATCCCCTACCTCTGAGCTGGATTGAAATCGGAGCCGGTTTTCTCATTTTTAATTCACGAGTTTATTCCATTTGATTTTTAGGCAGTACATAGCACTTCACCTGTTAGCGTTCCTTTTATCTTTTTTTCTAAAGAAGTTGGGCACTCATCCACCTTCAATTTGTTTTTAAAAAATGAGATATAATAAAGATGACATATACTTACCCTTTTTAAAGTGTACAATGTAGGGGTTTTTTTTAGTATGTTCACGAAGTTATGCAGTCACCGTGACTACCTAATTCCAGACATTTTCCAAAAAGAAACCTTGTACCCATTCACAGTGATCCATCAGCAGTCACTCGCCATTTCTCCTCCCCAGCCGAGTCCTCCCTCATTTTAAGGTGAAGTCTTCCCAAGGTAGAAATTGAGCAAACTGTGAAGTTACCTTCAGCCCTTGTCCACTTCATAGATTTGGGGGAAGGTGCTGCTGCTGAGGCAGTGCAAGAAAAATTAGGTATGGGCTGTCCTATGTCAAGATTAACTTGTCCAAGGAGCTTGGCAAGCGTGGCTCAGAGGTTGAGCGAGGACCTATGAACCAGGAGGCCATGGTTCCATTCCCCCTCGGGCCACATGCCCAGGTTGCTCACGTGCTTTGTCTCCAGTGTGGGCACGTGCAGGAGGCATCTGGTCAATGATTCCCTCATCATTGATGTTTCTATCTCTCCCTTCCTCTCTTTGAAATCAATATACATATATTTGAGAAAATGTGTAAGGATGGAGGAGAATCCCCTAGGGGAGGACGAATGCTTCCTTTAAGGACACACAAACTAGCCCTGGACAGTGCGGCTTAGTTGTCCCATTAATTGGGTTCAATTCCAGGTCAGGACACATACCCCGGTTTGCTGGTTCCTTCCCCAGTCTAGGTGGGTATTGGAGGCACCAATTGATATTTCTCACATTGATGTTTCTTTCTCCTCCCCCCCCCCCTCTAAAATCAATGAAAAAAAAAAGAAAGAAATATATATAAGAATACACAAATTAGGAATGTGATTTATCCTCACAGGCACAGGGTTGCTTTGGGACACTTTCTGCTCTCTTGTTTGCCAAGTCCACAGATCACTCTAGTTGAGGTTCTGCCTCAGCCAAAGTGAGTGGGGGTGGGGGGAAGGGGGGAGATGATAGAGGGGAAAAGGGGACTGCTAATTTAAAAATAGTTTTGTTTTAAATCATCCAAAATGGCCCCCAAGAAAGAAATCACAGACAAAAGGCCAGTAGAAGAGCTTCATTTCGTGAGTATCAGCATCTACTCACAGATAATCACATGAACTAAACTGCTCATGCATTAATCCCCTAGTCCAGGGAGGAGGTGGAGGGTGGAAAGGGTCTAGTTGAAGGAAATTCAAGGAATGGGGGAGGGGACAGGAGTCCGCTGAAAGCAGAGTGTTGTGGGCGCCCAGGCCTGTGAAAATGGAGTGGCTGTGGGATGAGCAGATGCAGAGGCAGCCAAGGGGATCTCAGGAAAAAGTTAGCATGTATTGTACTCAGGCGTTTGCTGGATTATTTGTGCATACTCTTAAAAAATCATTTTGAAGCAAGGTGAATTACACAACAGTCACCACACTTCTCTTCCGCTCTCCAGTCAAATAAAGAAGCCAACTGGTTTCAAATGTTACAGGAAATTTTATGCCTCATGTGTGGGTGGCTTGGCTTAAGCCATCTCTCTCTCTCTCTCTTTTTTTTTTTTTCAAGTGTAATTTACAAAATTGTACTATAGCATCAATGTGACAAATACTTACAAAATGAACGTAAACTTATAACTAGCACCGAGATCCAGGAACAGAACATTGTGCTCTGCCTTATTGCAGAAAGCCCCTCGTGCTCCTTTCCAATCACTATCCCCAAGGGATAATCTAACCAACCATAGGTTAGTTTTGCCTAATAATCCATAAGAAATGGCTATATATCATTTCTTTTTTTCAAGATTGCATATGGCTATTTATAATAATAAAAGCATAATATGCTAATTAAACCGGACAGCCAATCGACCTTCTGGACATCATTCTGGACAGAGCCGCAAAGGCAGGGGTCGAGGCAGAAGCGGTTAGGGGCGATCAGGCAGGCAGGCGTGCAGTTAGGGGCGATCAGGCAGGCAGGCAGAGGGATTAGGGGTGATCAGGCAGGCATGCAGGCCAGCAGTTGGGAGCCAGTGGTCCCGGATTGTGAGAGGAGCCTGCAGGATCGGGTCTAAACTGGCAGTCGGACATCCCTTGAGGGGTCCTGGATTGCGAGAGGGTTCAGGCTGGGCTGAGGGACGCCCCCCACCCCCTGTGCACAAATTTTGTGCACTGAGCCTTTAGTAGTTCAATAATTATCATTGCTGGCCAATACTCCATTGTGTAATTCTACCCTGATTTATTTATCCATTCTAGGGTTGATGGGCATTGAGTCATTTCCAAATTTTGTCATTAGTGAATCCTGTGACTGAACATTTTACAATAATACATGTCTTGATATACATGTACACATTTGTATTTGTATTGGGAATGTCCTCAGGAGTAGAATTGCTGAGTTCTAGTGTTCAGTTTAGCATATATTGCTAAACAAATTGCAATATAGTTTATACTTCAACCAGCATTATGAGTTTTGTTCTACTCTCCCCCCCCCCTTTTTTTTTTTAAGATTTTTAAATTGATTTTTAGAGAGAGAGAGATGTGAAAGAGAAACATCACTAGATCAGCTGCCTCCTGCATGCCCCCTACCAGGGATTGAACTTGCAACCCAGGCATGTACTTGATTGGCAATCGACCCAGCAATCTTTCAGTGCATAGGAGACACCTAACCCACTGAGCCACACAGGCCAGAGCTGTCGCATCCTTTTTTTAAATTGCAAAAGCAGTAGACTTAAGGAGATTTTGGCAAATGGACAAAAGGTGACCCATATTAATCGGTCTCAGCAGACTGATTATTTCTGTTGTGTTCAATTCCAGTGCTTTTCTATGTCTGTTCATACTTTTATGGAGTCATAATTCTGATATTCAATTTTGTATATTGTTTGTATGTTAACACTATATCTTAATGTTGCTCCAGTTTTTATGACTTTTAATTCCTATACAGGTCCACAATGTCATGGTTATGTTTTCATTTAATAATTTACCCAACATTGGAAATGTGTGTTAAATTTTGTAGTATTACTGGTATATAGGATGGGGCAAAAGTAGTTTTACCGCTGTATGTGAAGCAGCTTATTCTTGTATTATTATTTATTAATTACTGTATTTTCTTTTTTTTTTAAATCTTCATCTGAGGATATGTTGTATTGATTTGAGAGAGAGAGGAGGTGAGGGGAAGGAGAGGGAGGGAGAGGAAGGGAGGGAAAGAGAGAGGAATAGAGAGATAGAAACATTGGCAAGAGACAAATATGGATCAGCTGCCTCCTGCATGCCCCATACTGGTAACTGAGCTGGCAACTCGGGCGTGTGCACAGCCCGGGCTTGTGACTGCTGAACGAGCTTGGGGATCTTTGTGGAAATGTAGCTCTGGACCCAGACTTTTGGTTCCTAGGTCAATGTTCAACCACTGAGCCACACCAGCCGGTGACCCGGATATCTTCTTGATAAATAGTGTAAATGTGTCTTTGTTGTAATTTCATGTACTAATCACATAGTATTTTTCTTTATAGGATGCTTTTTGCAAAGGTACGAAGCTAGGAGCTTTAGGGGATATAAGAACCATACCATAAGTATGATCAGAAATTCTGTATAAGAATTAACAATACCACTTAGGCAGAATTCTTATAGGTGACATAGGAGTGTTTAGTTTTCTTAACAGATACGGGACGCTTATATGAGATCTGAGTCAAAACTTGCCTGGTTTCTTTCGGGGCTGGTTAAGAAGGGCTTCCATAAACAGTAAGACTTGAGCTGAGTTTTAAAGAGGTCTTTAGAAAGTAGGGTGGGAGCAGTCGGGGAGAGGTCAAGGGGGAGGAGACATATGTAATACT